GACAATTACCCAGTTAGCTAAATAGATAGAGGGTTTTAATGTGAATCGGACAACTCGTGTCCGATTCCTGGACGGTCCAGGTCACTTTCGTTATGATTGAAATCTTTTCCACGACCATTACAATACCTCTGCTTTCTAGTAACGCCATTATTTGCATATAACATGGAAATTATTACTGTCATCTCGTATCTTTATTACTTTCCTTAATATATCAGTACAATTTTCTTAAGTTTGGTTTTCTTGAATAGTATGGCTCACATGGAGGCATGCAGCTTTAATTTCGTGTTTCTCTTGTGAATGTTTACACATAAAACTTGTGTCTTACCTTAGTTTGTCTCCATATAGTTAAATTGTGAATAATTAAATGTAATAAATGTCCGTCAGTTCAAATCCAATATACATATTAAATGATGTTTAATCCTTCACTTAATGTTCATAAATATAGTACGTCGCCCGTAATACGGTAAAGTTGAGCCATTGTTAAATTTTATAATAAAATTGTCATTGAAATTTAATAATTTATGTAATTTGTCAAAGCAAATTTTCGTTCAAGAACTAACTTAGTATCATCATCGCTTTCTTAAGTTCATTACTTATTTAATTAAATGGTTTATAATCATTGCATTATGAGGCAAATAGTGAAAAAAAAGAGATTTTAAAATTCACAAACATATCAACCTAGCATAGAATGAAAAAGTGAAAGAAATATAGTTTGTTTATTGTGTAAGATGTAATTTTATTTCATTTCGTATGCTTCAAAAACAGGTTTTTTTTCTTTTGCTACGCAACTGGTGAGAATAATGTTTTCGACGCTCACTCGATGAAATAATGTTTCAACTTACACACACGCGAAATATATCCTTTTGTGTATACTGCTCACTATGATGTTAACAGAGATTATTTCTGTTAGATATAAAGAAGTCTTTTAGATCCAATCAAGTGTTAAAATATTGAAAAGGCTTTTATGCTTAATTGCGGAAGATATTTATTTATCTTACGTCTATTTTGTAATTTGCGACGAAGACAAAAAAATGTACTTTTAAGGGTACTCTTACCTATCGTCATTTAATTGCTTTTAAGCTTGATACATTTTGACAATATTACTTTGTCGTATACAAGACTTTGACAGACGGTGGTCAATCGTGGAACTCAATATGTTTCCGTTTCTCATATCATATAAGTTCACATTTTTCAGTAGAAAGACGGTTAGTGATAACACTGATCTACATTCTGATTTTTGTTACTGGCAAAGAAAACAACGTACTAGTCTGCCCTTTACGACTGAAATATTAATTCTTCTGGAATTGTTAATAAAAACTAAGACAATATTTCAAACATGTCCTTTTTATAAACATTAAGTAATAAACCCTCGATTAATTTTAACGGCAAGCTTCAGTTAATAAGGTGCTTATTAAACACTAAATTGATATCTGGTATTGAATAAGACAGGTTAGACCTTTTAGCGAACATAATGCCTCAGAAATCGTTTGATTCAGTTTCGGTGGAAGATTGATTTCTTTCGTCAAAAGTAAAGACATAAGAAGTTCTGAACACTTTTATTAAGAATCCATAATTTGATACGATAATATTTGAAAGAAAACTATCTTTTTATTATCATTTTAAAAGCAAATAGTAAAATAAATTTACGTTTATTTCCGTGTGATTTGTGAGTTTCCAGAACATTTTGACACATGACTATTAATTATTTCTCAGTGCATTATGTTTTACTTGACATAATGACTATAAGAATGAATTAAACCTGCATGGTATCAATGCATTTTAATACATCTTATTTAGTTTTGTTGCGAAATAAAAGTCTCGTAACGTAACATTGATTACAATTTCCCTAACCTAGCGGTGTTAAGTACATTATTTTAAAAAAGAAGACAGGGGTCATTTATAAAGTTAATGATATATTTTTTAATTCAATAAATGAACAGAATGAACGATTTCTTTTCTTTAACATTTCAATGTTTAAACGTTTTGTTTGGTTCTACAAATTTGTTGGGTTTTTTCCACGATTATAAGTGTGATATAGTCTTTTGGATACTTCATAACTTTAATTCTTATTAACTTTATAATATGCAAATATGTTGTCAAGATCTACATTTATATTGAACAAAATGGACATGTTTATGTTTTAAATTCAACAATCAGGTTAGTTTACAGCTTTGTTTATTTAGCTTATGTTTCAACATTTTACAGAGTTAAATAAACTGCTCTATGTTTTCATTGAAATAATGTCTTTCTACGGTATGGACAATTAATCTCGTCATTTATACAATATTATTTGATCATAACGCCTTAGTTTCCAGCGTACTAGACATGACATTAAATAACGGTTTCCAATATTTTTCTCTCTTTTTTTTTTGGGGGGGGGGGGGGGTGGGGTGGGGGCGAGTCTGTCATAATTTGAATGTTCTTCAACAAAGCAATCTTGTCACGAATAATTTGAATGTCGTCTGTTAATAACGTTAGTGTTTTTCCATTTTCACAAGTGTTAAGGAACGTACCATTTCATTTATTTGAATATTGTGAGATATTTCAAATGTTATTCAATTAACACAAGCTTCTTGATCCAACAAATTTTTAATGTATTCTATAATAGTTTAATTGTTCTTTTGATATGCATTTATGTGGTTTGATAAAACGATGTCCTTTGTACAAAACAAAGCCAATATATACATTCTATTGTTCACTTTCGTTAACGAAATTTTCGTTCCAGCAAAAGTAACATCCGTTAATACTTAGTCTATCAGACAATTCCTTTACCTTTAAAATGATTCACACAAGCATTTAACATAATAGACTTCTATCATATTACACAGTTAAGCAATATCAAATTTTTAACATTCATATAAACAATTAATGTCAACAAACAAGAGAACTTGAATAATCATCCAATTTTCTCATGAAATACATACAACTTTATACAACTTGACAATAAAATTGTTTAGGAGAAACAAAAAAAATTCTATCGATTTTCCAGTTCTGATCATGAACAGCCTTAATCAAACCGAGCCTGCAACATATTCGGTGTACTTTTGGGATTCTGTTTTCTTAACTTGTTTCTTAACTTGTTTTTGTATAAGTTCTTATTACTTTTTAATCTGTCCCCCGGACACGAAGATAACAATTCAACAATTCCGTTTATATCTGTGAATACAAATATCAAATCATAACAGCCTCAACCTAGCTTTTGTATAATTATATATTTCCTTAAAATATTTAAATATCAAGAAGAAAACACTCTTTTGTTCAATTTTTTAAGATTTAAAATTTTGACCTAAAAATCCATTTTCTGCTTCCTCCAGTTTAAACCTAATCAACTTAAACTAGACACATTTCAAATTATCGGTTGTTTCGTTCTTTTAGCCCCTGATGACCTATCACATACGACGAAAAATGAGTAAATTGACCAAGCTAAGGTAAATGCTGTTAAAATGCTTGTATATATCTCGTATGGCTCGTGCTATATAATGGAGGTTTAAATATCCTGTATGTTATAATTGAGGTTGCATGTCACACTTAATAAAAAAATTATATTTGTATATAATTATGCTTAAAAAACAATTTTCAGACATCGAAAAATATGTATTATATGTACTGCAAATATTTGTGCACGTTATATGTAATTGTCATGTGGTTGATATTCGTGTTTATGAATATCATTTTTATGTATCATTTTGTCCTTGTATTTGTATATATATATCTTGTATTTGTCTGTTTACAGTCCGATATACATCCATTATCCCATATCATTCCTATATCATTCCATTTCATCATCTTATTATAACAACTAATTTCTCATATTTCATTTTGACATAATTTGCATGCCGGGCCTCCGTTTTTACAAACTTCTCGGAAAAACAATCTCACGCATGCGCACTTTGATATAAATATTTCTTTTGGTTTGCGCCAGAAATTGTTATCTTATTTATTTATTTATTTATCAAGGCGTATGTTTATGTCCTTACAGGTAATTGTTGTTATTCATTATGTTTCATTATCATGCATATTTCCATTGATCGTTTATGTATTTCGGATCTGTATTTATGCACTTTGATATAAATATTTCCCTTGGTTTGCGCCAGAAATTGTTTATCTTGTTTATTTATTTATCAAGGCGTATGTTTTATGTCCTTACAGGCATAAACGACCATTCATACATGTGAAAAGGACCATACGACATTGGTGGCCAGTGTGGATTTTTATGTGTGGATGGTATTTTCATGGTACGAATTTATTTGGGACGAAACAACGAACACAGACGGTGACGTAGGGAATTCCCGACTCCAGCCAATCAGAACGGCTTATATATTTCTTGTTTACTTCCGGTGACCGGGTACTCCCGAGGAATTTCATGAATATAAACAAAAGTTTCAACTAGTTATTTTTCTATATTTTAAAGAGCTCTAACATTTAATTAATTAAAGGTACCTATTCTTATTTATATATCAACGTTGGATCATTCACTTCTTCGGACCATTTAGACGACAACAATATATTTGTGGACTTTGAACATTTGTAAACAAACAGTGTAAATTCTTTAAATTCAGTGTTTACATATTTTTGATAAGTGTCTTTTTCAATTTAATTAGTATCAAGTGCCATTTTATAGTTATATTGTATAATGTAGATCTAGGTTGATTTTTTCATTTATCTATATTGAGTGGTGTAAAATCTTGATCAAGATCTACATGTGAAAATCAATTTTTGTTTTGAACCAGAGATATACATGTATATTATTATTTGATTTTGTATATTTTAGGTTGAATTCCACAAAGCCTTGTACTTCAGGCTTCTGTGACATTGATTTTTATCCTGTTGCTGGCTTTTTGAAGATTGATACAGTTTACAGACATGTAGACACAACATTTAACTATCAGGTGGTTTCTTTTCCTTCTCTTTCATCACAATCTTTTTCAGCTCCTATTCTGATTGTGTTCCAGACACAGATCACTCCTGCAGAGTTCCTTTGATAATAGGCACCAACATACTGAATGTTTTGAAGTCATCAGGAACAGAGTCAACATCATCTCCACTTTCAGACATCATATCTTCCTTGCCTGACATTGTCACCAAACCTGTTACTCTTCTTCATCATCAGACTGTCATTGTGAAGCCTTTTGAAACAACAACACTTGAGGGCAAGGTGAGACATATTGGCAACATGTCATCTGGTGTTACAGAGTCTACTGATTCTCTTATGTTGAATGTGTGCCCTAGATTGGTTAAATTTCAACCTGGTTCTTCTTTTTGCAGGGTTCCAGTACGTGTTTGTAACTTGACTGCTAGAGCTATTACCATTCATCCAAGAATGACTCTTTGTACTTTACATGATGTGTCTGTTGTTCGCACCATTGATCCTTCAGAGGGCGTTGCTGATAAATCCCACAATTCAGACAAGTCTCTTGATGACCTTGGTATTTCTATTCCCACTGAAACTTTAACTTCTGAACAGCAGGTTAAGGCAACTTCTTTCTTCAATCAGTGGAAGCATAAGTTCTCCTCTGGGCCTACTGATCTTGGTTCTACTGACTTGGTCGAACATGAAATCAATCTGTCTGATCCCACACCTTTTAAAGACCCTTATCGCCGAATACCACCAGGGATGTTTGAGGAGGCACGTGAGCATTTACGAGACATGATTTCGGCAGGAGCGATCCGTTAGTCCAAGAGTCTTTTTTCTTCCAATGTTGTGTTAGTAAGAAAGAAGGAAGGGTCTTTTTTATATCGATTACCGGAAACTGAACGACCGTACAATCAATGATGCTTATGCTCTTCCTCGCATCGACGAAACTATAGATCCTCTCATTGGTTCCACTATTTCCTCTAAACTCGACCTTCGCTCAGGTTACTGGCAGGTCCCAGTCAAAGAATCTGATAAGCAAAAGACTGCCTTTAGTGTTGGGCCTCTCGGATTCTATGAGTGCAACAGAATGGCTTTTGGTCTTACCAATGCCTCTGCAACGTTTCAGCGTCTGATGGAGCGTTGTATGGGCGAACTTCACCTTCGTGACTGTTTGATTTATCTCGATGACATTATCATCTTTTCTGATTCTATTGATTCTCATTTCACAATCTTAAACTTAAAGGGTCCAAGTGTGAATTTTTTAAGCCGCAAGTCCAGTATTTGGGTGACATTGTTAGTGCTGATGGTGTGAAGACAGATCCTGAGAAGATTGAAGCGCTCAAGACATATCCTGTACCTACTTGCCTTAAGGAGTTGCGTAGCTTTTTAGGTTTCTCAGGTTATTACAGGAGGTTCATTAAAGACTACGCACAGATCGCTAAACCTTTGAATGACCTTATTGGTATTCCTACCTGCAAAAGTTCTTCTAAGAAATCTAAAGTTCCTTTCAATTGGGGTCCAGATCAGCAGAATGCCTTTTGTTCTTTGATAGATAAACTTTCTTCTCCTCCAGTCTTAGCTTTTGCTGACTACAATAAACCATTCATTCTTAATGTTGATGCCAGTACTAGCGGTTTGGGAGCGGTTCTTTACCAGGTTGGTGCTGATGGTAAGGAGCATGTTATTTCCTATACCAGTAGGGGTTTGAGAACAGGAGAAAGACATTATCCTGCTCACAAACTAGAGTTCTTGGCTCTTAAGTGGTCTGTCTGTGATAAGTTCCATGATTACCTCTATGGTAATTCTGTGGAAGTTAGAACAGACAACAACCCATTAACCTATGTGTTTTCATCTGCCAAGCTTGATGCTACCAGTCACAGGTGGTTATCCTCCTTGTCTGCGTATGACATCAACTTGCGGTACAGAGCTGGTAAAGAGAACATCGACGCCGATACACTTTCTAGAATTCCTTCAGCTTCTTCTCTTCCTGATTCTAACATTCTCCTTTCAGATGCTGTCAAGGCTCTTTTGTTTTCTAAATCTGAAGGTCCAGGTCAACTTCTAGCCGTAGAATGTATTTCTTTTACCCAAACTGTTCTTTCTCTTTATCCCAGAGACGAGATCGAAGTCTGAAGCAGCCTTAAGTCAATTGATTGGAAGAAGGAGCAGCAAGGTGATCCAACACTTTCCCGTTTAGTTCAACTCTTTTGAAATTGGTCACAGGTTAACTGAACGCCAAAAGTCACATGAAACGGCCAAGGTTCGATCATTTCTGAAGGAATGGAGCAACCTTTACTTTAAGGATTCAATTCTTTATCGTAAAGGTACTTCAACTGGTGATCATGTTACTCAGCTTGTTCTCCCTGAGGATATGCTTGATTTAGCTTTCCAGGGTTTGCATGATGAGGCAGGACGTCAAGGTTGTACAAGAACGATTTCCTTGTTCCGTTCACGTTTCTTTTGGCCTCAGTTAGAACAGTATATCGAACACAAGGTTCGAAACTGCCCCAGATGTATCCGGAGAAAGTCATTGGATAAAACGACTGCTAAGTTAAATCCTATTCAGTCGAGTTATCCAATGGAAATTGTCTGTATGGATTTTCTTTCTCTGGAGATGTCTCGGGGTGGTTATGAAAACATCTTGATCATTACTGATCACTTTACTCGTTTTGCTCAGGCTATCCCTGCCAAGAACCAAACTACACATACTACCGCTAAACTTCTCTTTGAAAATTTTGTTTGTCACTATGGTTTTCCTAGTCGGTTCCATAGTGATCAAGGGCGAAAGTGAAGTTATCCGTGGGTTGTGCAAGTTTGCCAATTTTGACAAGACCAGGACTACTCCGTATCATCCACAGGGTAATGGGATGTCTGAGCGCTTTAATGAAACCCTCTTGAATATGTTAGGGACCCTGGAAGACGACAAGAAGGTCAATTGGAAGTCTCATGTTCCCGCTCTTGTCCATGCCTATAACTCTACTCCCCATTCTTCTACTGGTTATTCTCCCCACATTCTCATGTTTGGTCGCCACCCTAGGCTTGCCATCGATGCGTTTCTTGGCATCGAACCAGACAAATCTCCTGTCAAGGACCATTCTTACGTCTCAGGTCTCCAGAACCGACTAAAATTCGCATATTCTGTTACACTCTGAGAGGCCAAGAAACAAGGCAAGAAACATAAAAGGTACTATGACCTCCGTGTGAGAGAAGCGGAATTGAAGCCCGGGGATCGAGTACTGGTCCGAAATGTAGGTGTTCGGGGAAAATCCAAACTTGCCGATAGATGGGAAAAGGATGTGTACACCATTCTCAGCCAGCCCACCTCTGGAATTCCCATCTATGAGGTGAAGAAGGAAAACAGCAAGGACAGGTCCAGGGTTTTGCACAGGAACCTTTTACTTCCCTTTATGGGGATGCCTTTGTGCAAAACAACTGAGTCCTTATACAAGCCTGCTTCCTCTGACTTACATTCGGATCAGAACTCGTTCTCCAATCCCTCCTCTGATGTTTACATTACAGCTCCGTTAGATTTCAATTCCTCACTTACATCAAATATGATAAACAAGATCAACAAGGAAAGGCGGCGTTCAACGAACGCAACCCCCATATGACCCAGCAACAAGAACCAAAGTCCATCAAATGTTTCACAAAGCAATTCTGCCACAATACATGATTCTAACAATTGTATGTCAACTTCTTTTACAGGAACATCAAATAGAAAACAAGATGCCATGTCAGCAACTCAAACTTCTTATTCTGTTCCAAATAAAACATCTCATTCTATTACAGGTTCAGAATATGTCATTCCTGCACTGAGAAATCCATCTAAGGACAACAACAACAATTTACAGAGGCAGAAACGTACAAGAAAGAAACCCGGATGGATGCTTAATGATAACTGGAAATTAGATTAATGCTTTTTCTTTCGATTTATAGTCTAGGTGTGTTTCAACTTTGAAGTTAGGCGTTGTTCAGTAACTGATGTGTTTCGTTTTATGTTTTATACCATGTACCATATATTTTACCTTGGTAATTTATAAATGTACTTTGCAGTACTTTAAAAATAAAGGATTTATTGTTGAGAGTGCACCTCTTCAATGAATTATAACTTAAAATTTTGTTTCCGCGTGACATATATTTTTCGCGATTCGCGGCATATGGTATTTTTGTGGAACATGCTTGATTTTAAGGTAATTTGCCCGGGTATTATATATTTACCCACAGGTTGTAATTGCCTTCAGTATTTAGATTTAGTTATGTAGTACCTAGTAGTTTAGTTACTTTATGGTCTAAGCTTACTACTTGCAATGTCTGATTCAAGCTCTTCCTCTTTAATATTTAATGAATGTCGGGGCGACATTCCCCAAAGTTGGGAAGTATGTCATGTGGTCGATATTCGTGTTTTTGAATATCGTTTTTATGTATCATTTTGTCCTTGTATTTGTATATATATATATCTCTTGTGTTTGTCTGTTTACAGTCCGATATACAATCTATTATCCCATATCATTCCTATATCATTCCATTTCATCATCTTATTATAACAACTAATTTCTCATACTTCCTTTTGACATAATTTGCATGCCGGGCCTCCGTTTTTACAAACTTCCCGGAAAAACCATCTCACGCATGCGCACTTTGATATAAATATTTCCCTTGGTTTGCGCCAGAAATTGTTAATCTTGTTTATTCATTTATCAAGGCGTATGTTTTATGTCCTTACAGGCATAAACGACCAGTCATACATGTGAAAAGGACCATACGACATAATCATCAAAATATATGCATTCATTTCTTATGGAAAAATTTTACTTAGACTTAATAGAAAATAAATTTCTAATTACCTTCTTGATAAATCTTAATTTAAGCATCATATTTATGATATAAAACCATAAAAATTGTGTTACAGGATCTTTAATAGAATCTACTTAAATGAAACGCTGTTTTGCCTATATGTTAGCAAATTGTGATCTGTAATTTGAGTATTACTGTTGTTCAATATGGCAATTATTTATCCCCATATAGCTTAAGACGTCATCAGTTGTCTTAGTTTCCATTTATTATATTAAACTCGAAAACCAATGCCATTTTTCTATGCCCTGAATGGAAACAATGTGTTAAAGGAAATAGTATATAGTTACTGAATATGTAATTATGTGTGAAAATAACGTTACGAAAGGCGCCTCGTCCAGAAATAAAATGGCAATGCTCACAATACGCC